AGCCTTGTGATTACTGATTTTCTGTTCTGGAGGTTGGCAGCTCTGTTAAGAGTCAAGAACGGTACAACGAATCGTCTTCTTTCTCTAGTAATTTAATGAAATGTCAAAGCTTCCGCACGGGACGGGGGGGGGGGGGGGGGGGCTGAATTCAGACAAGGATTAAGAGTCAAGAACGGTACAACAAATCGACTTCTTTCTCTAATAATTTCATGAAATGTCAAAGCTTCCGCACGGGACGGGGGGGGGGGGGGGGGGGGGGCTGAATTCAAACAAGGATTAAGAGTCAAGAACGGTACAACGAATCGACTTCTTTCTCTCATAATTTCATGAAATGTCAAAGCTTCCGCGCGGGACGGGGGGGGGGCTGAATTCAGACAAGGATTAAGAGTCAAGAACGGTACAACGAATCGTCTTCTTTCTCTAATAATTTCATGAAATGTCAAAGCTTCCTCACGGGACGGGGGGGGGGGGGGGGGGGGGGGGGGGACTAAATTCAGACAAGGATTAAGAGTCAAGAACGGTACAACGAATCAACTTCTTTCTCTAATAATTTAAAGGTAAAGACCAGTAATGGTCATGCGATTGCATTGTGAAAGAAACGTTGTGGAATCGATCAGAAAAGGTTGATCATCTAGCATCTAGCATCTGCAAGGTTCTGGAATCATCAAAATGATAAGAAATTTGGCCCATTCTTCGTAAAGTTACAAGCACTATACACAGAAAGATGTATATGGGACTACCCTATCTCTCTCACCAGACCATGAGAGAAATAAATTTACCAAATATATGAATTAGTAGGCGGTTTCCCGGCAAATTTTTATCATCATGTATTAGTCAAAACATATTCTTTCACATGATTGGTAATGAGAGCTTCCATTTCATTTTTTGAAATTGGGGCGTTGCCAATACTGGTCTTTACCTTTAATGAAATGTCAAAGCTTCCACGCTTCGCGTTGGAGGGGAGGGGGGGGGGGACTGAATTTAGATAAGCATTAATAGACGAGAACGGTACAACGAATCGTCTTCTTTCTCTAATAATTTCCGAAATGCCATATTTCCGCCTTGGATGGGGGGGGGGGGGGGGGGGGGGCTGAATTTAGATAAGCATTAATAGTCGAGAAATCGCCTTTTTTCTCCAGTAATTTAAGGAAATGTCATATCTTCCGCGCAAGGGGGGGGGGGGTGGGGCTGAATTCAGACAAGGATTAATAATTGAGAACGGTATACAACGAATCGTCTTCTTTCTCTAGTAATTTAATGAAACGTCAAAGCTTCCGCACGGAACGGGGGAGGGGGGGGGGGCTGTATTTAGACAAGGATTAAGAGTCAAGAACGGTACTACGAATCGTCTTCTTTCTCTAAAAATTTCATGAAATGTCAAAGCTTCCGCACGGGGGGGGGGGGGGGGGGGGGGGGGGGGGGGGGGGGAGGGTGGGGCTGAATTCAGACAAGGATTAATAGACAGTGGGCCCAATGGTCAATATCCCCTCAGAAATGTGATTCTGTGACCTACATTTAGGGTGGGGATGAAAATGGTGTCATATAGAAGCCTTTATGGTCAGGAATAACATATTCTTTTTCACACGCGCAAATATTGCGCATTTGCGAAAAACACAGTGAAAACGTTAACGCCCTCTATTGGTGAAATCTGTGATTTCTTGTACAAATTCTATATTAAACATGTTAACATGTCCAGTGGAATTCAACTGATTAAATAAAACTGAATTAAATAAATCAATCTATTTGAGGTTAATAATGCTTGAAAAGAGTCTTTTTATAAATAAAAACAATAAAAACAAAATGTAAAATATAAAGAAATATTTATTGTAATTTATGCAAATAAGGTCATAAAATTCACATTTTTACCCATAAATCATAAATTATTCATATTCAAACATTTTTTTTCACTACATATATTTCTGAGTCCATTTGGAATAATAATACAACAACAAAATTTGGAAAAGCCAGGTTATTCCTTATGTTATCTATTGTTTTTATAATTTCTCAAGTATTTCTGTGCTTTTTTATCTTATTTTTTGTTGTTGTTGTTTTATTTCATTTCTAACTATATTTCAACTTCTTTGACCCCCAAAACAAACACCGAAAGTATAAACGAGACCAAATAACTAATGTTTTATCTCTTTTCAGGAAAAATTATATACCCGTATTTGCCGGCGTAAAGGCCGCACCCCCGTATAGGCCGCACCCCCAACTATGACATTTCGTAGAGGAAAAAAAAAAAACTACAAAAAAAAAAAAAAAAAAAAAAAAAACCGGACCAAACAAAATGATCGTAATTTTTCTTGTAGAACACTCTTTTTTTTTTACAAACTATACCAAATTCATCAATATTCTTATAAATCAACAAGAAGTTAACCTCTAAAATGATCATAATTTAGCAGATCTTCATCGACATTTAAGCTAGTACTGTATCGTACGCAGATTTGGTATCCTACAATACCCTTTCCTCGATGTGCGGTGTAATCCGAAATAGCATTTTTCGACCTGCGCAGTTGCGTTGTGCGGCAGCTACCTCCGTAAGTAACGGCCTGTCCCTTTGTTTACTTTTTGGCGATGCAATGGTATGGACTTAGATCTAGATCTATCGGCAGATTTTATTAGAAAAATAAGTTTTTTCGTCTTCATGTCAACTATGCAACATAAACTTGTCGGTAAGTTGTGTGGAGTTATTCTAGAATTGTCCTGTACCGTTGTCTAGTCATGCTACCGTTCCTATAGTCCCATACGTGCAGATGGACGTTATGTTTTGACCGCTGAATTTTGTTGTTGTTGCGTATACGCCGCACCCCGACTTTTTGATTTTTTCTCACCCGAAAATTCTGCGGCCTTTACGCCGGAAAATACGGGTATATCTAATTTCATTAAAAATTTGTAGGGGTTTTACTCGACTTAATATTTGAGTGTATTCTAGGTGCATCAATGAGCCAGGGCTTCTTAAGAAGTGCTAGAAAACCAAGCAATAGTTTTAACCACTGTTACATCGATTTATTATGCCCTAAAAGTTACTACTAAGAGTAAATGACAACGTAACGTATGTTTTAATCGTAGTAACGTAGGTTTCAAAAGGGAGGTTGTTCCATAGAATGATGATACATGGCAGATTTATTTTGTAAATTGTAGATTGATGTTTATTATAAGCTAGTAACCGAGTTCCTTTCCTTATTAGAGGTGTAATTTTGTTAATAATTAGCTGTATAAATGTAGATCTGTAGATCAAACTATTAATCACTTCAGGTAATATTTATGATTAGTTCAAATTTATTTTCTTTAAATCCTATGAGATAGGAAAGTCCTTGTAAGGGTTGTATATTTTATGAAAACTATACCGTTTTTTTACATTAAAGCACTCCAGTAGTACTAACAATCTGATTGAATTGTAATTGATTGAATTTAGTTTATTACAAAATTCATAGGCTGATAAATATACACGTACATGTATGTCATTGTAACGTAAGTTTCAAATGACAGTAACGTAGGTTTCAGGATTCATTACCGAGTTTTGAATACCGGATAGTGATTTTACCCCCAGCCAATTAACCTTTCGTGTTTTCAAGATTTATGCGGGATGTGTGTCTGTTTATTAAATATATTTATTTTGTTTTTCTTTCATGCTTATCTTTACAAACTTTACTACATCTTATTGTTGACATTTTAACACTGGATTATTGAATGCCAACATTTAAAACGCAATTAAGATCTAAATTTATCGACTTAAAAATCACTTAGTGTTACTATTATAGGGTTTTTCTATTTCATTGAATCATTTTGAGAATGCATTTTACTCTTTCAATCTTTTCCATGCATACAATAGTACATGTACGCCAGTATATTGTCAGACTTTGAAAACATGTAATTTACGTTACCTGTTACGAAACCTACGTTACCGCGATTGGTGACACAATTGAAATACCAACATGGTGTCCATTCTTAAACTCAATGACTGAAATTAAAAACTGATCATGAAAGGACTTCATGAATGTTAAAAGCATATCTCTGACTTTAAGATATATTGTTCAAAGTAAAAAGATACGATTTGTGATTTTGTCTATCATATTTCAATGTACATACATGTACTGATGTTTTGAAAATTTTGATTTTCCAAAGTGATTTCGTAATAAAACTGAATGAACTTAATTGATGACCTGCATTAAATTCGGGCACTATGTTGCATATTTTAAAAGTAACATACACTTACCATTCAATAGAAATATCTTTTACCACAACATTTGAAAAAGTGTATCGTTCGGTAACGTAAGTTTCACACTCGAAAATACATGTCATAACGAGAACTTGCATATTAAGCCAATCAGCAAACATCACATGCCAACAATTGCAGGATATTGACTTGACCATGTATGCATTCTTTTCATAATAAAATGATATGTTTTGAGCAAAGTTTATTTTTTTCGTATTCTGACTTTCTAATTGCGCCGATATAGTGGTTTTGAGCCTACATACAGTAAAATAACTATACCACTATGGTACAGGACATGTGCGGTGTAATACGAAATTGCGAATTCGGCTGGATGTGCACTTGCGCAGTTGCATTGCGCGGCAGCTACATTTGTAGCTCCGTAACGGTCGTTCCCTTTCTTTTACTTTTTAGCGATGCAATCGCACAAACTTAGATCTAGATCTACCACTACCAGTAGATTTCTTTAGAAAAATAAGTGAAGCTTATTTTAGTCTTCATGTCAACGATGCAACATAAAATTGTCGGTAAGATGTGTGGAGTTATTCTAGAAAAGTCCTCTACCATTGTATAGTCATTGTAGTCCTATATGTATGAATGGGCGTGCTGTTTTGACTGCATAGGCTGCACCCAGACTTTTGAAAATACTGCGGCCTTTACGGCGGCAAATAAGGTATCCTTAACACAGGCAAATGACATATGAATGCAATGTAATTATTGTCATCGGGTTCACTGTCGGAGATCCAACCTTTCATTTTTGTCATTGTTTTATGTACGTAATGTATATATTTCTGCATATTGATTTCAGGCATTGCCATCCATGTCGTATCACCAGTTTCCAGAGGACTACATTTCTGTGAGAGTGAGAAGGACATGTGACACCATGGATGGATTTTGCCTTCTCTATCTGCTCCTGATCCTCTTGATGAGATCTGGCGACGTTGAAACCAATCCAGGTCCTAACACGGCAGTAAGGTATGCATATACATGTATATTAGTAGCGCCTTCATGGGTTAACAATGAAGTCGGGTTCTGGGCCCGTTTCATAAACCTAAATCGATAACAAGTTTAAAGATAAAGTTGAGTTCTGGTCATGCGATTGCATTGTGAAAGAAAAGGTGTGGAATGGATCAGAAAAGTTGATCATGTACAGTATTGCTCGAAATAAAGTAGACAGATTACCGCCGGGTCTCGCGGGAATCAATCAAAGATTGAGTCCCGCGGTACTCCCGCGGTAACTCTTCCCTGTGCGGTACACAAATGGCGGTAATTACCACGAAAATGTACCACGAGATTTTCAAGAAAATCTCGTAATGAACCATCACGTAAGTCACTCCCTTTGTCATGTATCAAACGGAAAGGATTCGCACGTCGCTTTGCCATAATTGTTTAATCACTTAAACGATGAATGACGCCGGGAGAAATGCTTTCATTCCTTATATTTCTGTCGACGGCTAAGGTTGTGATCGCGCCGCGCGAAAACGTGGGCTTATAAAAATTAGCTGACCAGTTGATGCTCGCCGGCGGGCGGTGTCTCCAATCGCCTCGATCAGCTCAGTTACTAATGTTGGAGTTGGAGAAGCATAACCGTCCGTAGGTCATAACATGATCGCACTCCGAAATGCTCTATCTTTCATGGTCTCAAACGGCCTTTGTCATTTCTTGATAGCACTGTCCATGAGTTTGCATTGAAAATCATGTTTCTTTAAAAAAAAAAAAAAAAATGATTTGTAAAGATTGCCGATAAGCCAATTCAATTTCTTTCGCATGCCAAAGCACAACGAACTCTCCTAAAATTAGGCTCACTACCCCCCAAAAAGAAAGAACAAAAATTAGTGCTCATCCCCTCCCCCCTCCCCCGAAATATCGATCGGCGCGATTTTCATATTTCAACCTCCTCTATTGGAAAATCCTGGATCCACCCCTGATTACATCACCAAAGTCAAAGCAAGGAACCTAAATGAGGCCCAACAAAAATTTGCCACAGACCGCAAACAGCATTTTCACAAACCTGGATTTTTTAAAATTCAAAAGCAACACGATCTCGATCAGCCAATGTACCTCATGGCCCAAATACAGGTACATGTAGTTGACGTTTGATATGTACTGCGCGCGCTCAGGAATTCCCCGAATTATAATCTTGGCCATGAGTTATTTTGGAAAACCTCTCTCGATGACAATGTATCTCCATTTTATGACATTCAGTTTGCATGCAAGCAAAATACAATTACTTTTGAGTTGGGAAACTCTTTTATTCGACATAAAACCAGGGAGGTTAGTTCTTTTGTTGCCAAATTTATTGCAAAAGAGTTATTAATAAGATTATTTCAAAGTTATATCACATCTAATATGGGTTTATGAAATTAAAATATGGATAAATATGGCTGTTATTTCAGTGAAAATGACGAGCATGATGTGAGATTTTCAGGAAAGGTGAAAAGGACGGGAGAGAGGAAGAGAAATGTATAACTAAGATAAAGGCGAGGGAGGGGAGACGAGGTGGAGAGAGATGGGGAGGGAAAGACAAAGAAAGAGGGTAGGGGGTACAGAGATAGACAGCTATGGGATGTTTACATTCAAACCAGGCGTGTGTTTGGGTTGGGTTACTTAAACCTCTCTAATACCCCATTCACAGTGGCCTCAAACACCGCGACAGCAGCGGGACTGTCCCGCTGCTGTCGCGGTGTTGTCTTCAGTGTGAAGGCTCGGACCCGTTATAAACTATCGCGGGATAACACCGCCTCGCGATAACGCCGCGACAAACTATCGCTAGGTTCGCCTAGCTACAGCAGCGGGACAGTCCCGCTGCTGTCGCGGTGTTTACTCAGTGTGAAGGCTCTCCGCTATAACACCGCGACAAACACGTGTGATTTGTTTACTTACCTATCACTGACCTCTTTTCTCCAGCAATGGGGAACATAAAGTCAAATAGAAATAAAGTAACCAGTGGATTCAAATTGATTTTATTATTATGTAGATATTATAATTGTCCAAATAAAAATATTTCACACTTCAAAAAATTAAAATATTCTGACTGGAAGCAATAAAAATGCTAGTTTTTTAAAAAGTAATATGATCGAGGATACAAAAAGCAAGAGTGTGTAAAGTACAGCTAGCGCGCGCAATTTCAAGCAATCGAAAACCCCGCGCTGAAGTATTTCCGGTCATATCGGGGTCACTCGCGGGTCATGAGCCATGCATACACGTGTTTGTTACGGAGGTAATAAAAATCACCCGCTGCAGCGTGAATGGGTACATGATATTTATCCCGCTGCTGCAGCGGGATAACTTTTCTACTGTGAATGCATTTGTAGCGGTGTTATGGCGGTGTCGCCGCTCCGCTACAACGCCGCTACAAATTTCAAAACCACTGTGAATGGGGTATAATAAAAAGACTAAAAGAATACAAAATATTGGTTTCCTCAATAGTGCCGTTAGTCAGGCGCCATGTTCGGTAGAGTTCAGCACTATTTTACCCGAACTTTGGTTCGGTTCGGGATTGACTAATATAAATAGCAAGACCAAGAATTCGGGATTAAAGGTAATACAAAGTTTTGGTATGGGGTCATGAATTTGGTTCAAATGAACATATTGGAAGCATATACGATCCTACAATATTCATGGATCGTTGTCGCGGTCGAAATCGACTCTAAAGTTATGAAATTGTAAATAATAAACACTTTATGTTGAAAAGCTCCCTCTCAAGGTCAAGATATTAATTAAGCTATAAAACAATGTTTATTGACTAAAATTGACTGATTAGCTATTCTCGTTCGGAAATTATATACCACAACTACATAGTCTGAGATTTTCATGGTCGCAGCTACCATTGTACGGCCGTAGGAGCTATTTGAAATTTATTAAAATTTACCGGGAGCACCGGTAAATCTTTATATTCATTTTTTCTCGAAAGCAGAAGTGTTTTAGAGGCTAAAATTTCTGGTGTTTTTAATACATCCACAGGGGCATCCAAATATATTAAAATTGTAAAGAATCACTATCTACCCATTTTTCAAAATTTCCCAAAACTTTGTAATACCTTTAAGTAATATATTAGCAAGACTAAGAAAAGATCGCAGATATAATTCACCCTAAACTTGATTTACTATGCTCGCGTGGCCCATGTCACATTCCACCAGTCTTCAACCAGCAAGTCCCCAGAGAAACAAATTTATCTCTTATCTTCTTGACATAATTAAATCATTTAACAACTCGACTCTTATCTCAATCTCTTCTGTGTGACTTGATGACAGAGAAAGTGTATGTTACGCAATGTACGGTCTCTACGTACCCAGGCAGGGAGAAAATTTTGGTTCCCACGATAGGACATGACTTCTTGGAGCCTTGCCAACATAACAGCGTGCGTGATTATGCGCTCATGAATATTGATGAGTACGGATATGCTGAAAAAACTGCTATGCAGAGCTGAAATCATGAGAACGAATGTGTGTAAATATTCAAACATACTAAAAATAAGATAGTTGCGGTGTGAGAAACAAGAGAAAGAAGTAGAAGCATAAAAATAACAACGTCAATGTCTCCTCTTCCCCCCATCTACTTCCTCTCTCTATTATCCTTTACTCTTAACGAGTCTCCTCTTCTCCCCATCTATTTCCTCTAGTATCTTTTATTCTTAACGAGTCTCCTCTTCTCCCCATCTATTTCCTCTCTCTAGTTATTCTTCCTCGGGTCTCCTCTTCTCCCCATCTATTTCCCCTCTCTATAGTATCATTTATTCCTACCCAGTCTCTTCTCATCCCGATCTATTTCCTTCTCTCTACCTTTATTCCTACCCAGTCTCTTCTTCTCTCCATGTATTTCCTCTCTCTTTAGTATCCTTTATTCTTACCCAGTCTCTTCTTCTCTCCATCTATTTCCTTCTATTTAGTATCCTTTATCCAGTCTCTTCTTCTCTCCATCTTTTTCCTCTCTCTATAGTGTCCTTTATTCATACCCATTCTCCTCTTATAATTGTGATTAAGTTATGATAAAACATTTAAAATTGTCGGTTTCGTTTTTTTTTTTTTCCTGGGAGGCACTGTATAGGCCGATTGCGTATCTTAAATGTGGTGTCATGTCAATCAACACCAAAGTTCTAAAACACCGCGAAGTGTAACGCACCTTTGTTCGGAGAGCGCCGACTCGGGACATGGCGGGAATGTAATAAATATGTCATTATTTTGCAAGCCGTTGTTGTGACTGGATAACGATACAGAGTAATGCCACGTGGCATGAGAACATCATTGTTCAATTATTAGAGCGTACGGACCATTTAGATTGGAAATTAACAAAATTTAGGAAGCATTGGCGGATTCAGGATTTTCCAATAGAGGGGTGGGGGGGGGGGGCAACGGGGGCCTTTCCTCCCTGGCAAAAAACACTGACGGCCCCCACCCCTGCCCAAACAAGCTTTAAAATAAGATGGTAACCACACAGTTACTTTTTTTTCTCAAGAAGGGGGGAGGGAGGGGCTGTTGAGTAAAAACATGATTATAGTTGTAGTGCTCACACTAACCCCCCCCCCTCGAGCAACAAGAAAAAAATGTTTAAATTTCCGCCCCCCCCCCACCTCAATTGGAAAACCCTGGATCCGCCACTGCTTGCTTTACTATTTTCACCATCTCTCATATATCCTCTCTCATTCTACCTTAACGTATCATTTACTCAGTCCTCTGATCTTTCAACAGCCTCCATCTCTCTCTTGCATCCTCTTTCTTCCTCTAATTTTGATCATCTATTTCACCCGCTTTTTCATGCAAAACGTTTACTTCATTCTTTCCCAATCTTTCTTCTACTCTTTTCACCACCTCTCATATCCGAAATAATCCATAATGGCAAACGATGTTAGTAGGATTTACATCGTAACACAAAGGATAAATCAACGATGTACATGAAGTTTTCTCTCAATTTCCCAATCGATATTTTCTCGGCGTCATGATAAACATACGACACGTCCAAACACATTGTTCCTGTCC